AAATGTCAATTAATATAAAAACCTTTCAGAAATTCGAAATATATTTGTTAAACAGTAGGCTACAGTCACCTTGCTAACTGAATCATGTTGCTAACTGAAGGTCCACCGTCCACCATGTCCTCATGAAATGCTAATATATTGTCCACCCTGTCATTGTCCACCCTGTCAGCAAGCCTCCCATACATAATATAAAATGTACATTATATTTCAGTTAATGGAAAAAGTATTTGGATAATAATGAAATTATGGCAAACAATTTGTACCATGTCCACCCTGTCAGCAAGCCTTCCCATGACAGGGTGGACATGGTACAAATAGTTTGCCATCATTTCATTATTATCCAAATACTTTTTCCATTCACTGAAATATATTGTTGAGAAAGGGACTATAGCTTTCTGAAAATGTACATTTTATAATCACTATGTAATTACAATGTATTTATTATTTGAATTGTGTCCATGACAGGGTGGATACATGTTGCTGTTTGCATGTACTTGCAGTTCATTTATAAAAAGTGGGGGAGCTTGACCAATATCCATTTCTAACAGCATAACGTATACTTAATACAATGAATATGAAGTTTAATGGAAAATCACTGATTTTTTTGTGGAAATGGGGAAGTCTCAAATGCACCGTATGGTGATATTGACCCTTCTACATCTTAATGTATTTTTTAGCTTTTATTTATTTATTTAATTTGTTGGTTGTTTTTCTTACTTTTTATCTTATTTTACTGTGTTTATGAGTGCACCATGTATACAAAGACAAATTCCTCGTATGTGTAAACCTACTTGGAAATAAACCTGTTTCTGATTTTGAAGTACAATTTTGAGGTACTTGTACTTACTTCAATATTTCCATTTAATTCTACTTTACACATCTACTCCACCATATTTGATAGGGAAAACCTGTAATTTCACTGCACTACTCCACTCTTTAAGTCACATAGGAGTCAAATTATTAAAATATTTTACATAAAGTCAATCAGCGCTTTGTTTGTCCACAACAGTAAAATGCTACTTGATGCAGCAATACTATCTAGAAATGTCACATATATCAATCTTATTATGTACACAAGGCTTTTTTCTGCACAATGATTACTTTTACTTTTTATACTTTGAATACATTTAGCTGATAATACTTTTACTCTAATGCACGACTTGTCAGAGTATTTATAGAATGTGGATGTTCTACTTTTACTTACGTATAACTTGTACTTAAGTAAAAGTAGAAAACTGTACTATTTTAAGATTTAAGTAATTTTTCCACCTTTGAGTAAAAGTAATAATACTCTGTTAAAAGTAAAAGTCCTGTAATGTTACCAACATCTAAATATACTCATTACTCAAAGTGACCATTTTCTGAAATATATATATATTATTATATCACTAGAGTGTATTTAGTGATGCACTGTCTATCATTTTAATTTTGCAGCTGAGAAAACATTGATCACTTTTTAAATCTCCATTCATATTAGTACATTAAAGTTGATGAGTGGATTTAATTTTGGTATTAATAAAATGTACCTGCAATAGTAACTATTAACTCATATTTTCAAATACATGTAGTGAATAAAAAGTAAATATAGTTGCTGCTTAAGTGTATTGGAGTAGAATTACAAAGTAGCATAAAATGAAAATACTCAAGTAAAGGACATGATCCTCAAAAATACTTAAGTGGGGTACTTGAGTAAATGTACTTAGTTACTCTCCAACTCTGGTAGCGGGCAGCCATTTTAACTGTGTCATATCAATTATTTTAAAAACCTTTTTATAGACATCTCTCTCTAGCTAACATTATGAGATCTCATTACAGGGAAAGTACAGGAACTAATAACATTAATTACGGTTTGGTTCCACTTAAGTGTGCCAGTATCTTCTTGCCACTGAGCCAGCAGCATGGAGGCTACCAACACTCTTACTGTGGCACACCTGGGTGGAAAACAGCCATTATTAATGTTATTAGTTAATTTACAAGTCACAGAAGTGTTTGGTTTTACTCTGTGTTTAGACAGCTAACATTTATTTTGCTTCAAGGTGTGCCATAAAGCAAAAGCTTGGCTTCCGATCTGCTTGACATCACAAATATGTTTCCTTTCTTTAGTTGTATTCAGTTAAATGCTGCCCTAACTGAAACATAGGAAATGTATGTTTTTTTCTGTTGTCATTTTTTTAGTTTTTGTTCATGGCATACCGTAAAGCAATTTGAATTCATATTATGCATGAAAAGTGCAATACAATGTATTTGTTTTGTTTTTATTGTTTTGTTTTGAGCTTGTTCTCCTTTGTAGCTTATTTTTTCTCAATGGTGAATAACACTGTTTTGGGTTTTCTACCATATTTATTTTGTCTTATATAAAACTTTTAAAATATTATAGAAAAAAGTGCTATATAAAAAAGTGTAATATAACATTGTCTTGTGAATACTGAATACAAATATCTCAAAGTCCAACATCTTTCTTTGACCTCTTTGACACAAAAAGGTAAGGGAACCACAGCCTTGGGCTAATCCGTTAATCCTTCAACTTTTGTTTATTATATATTCATAAAAAATGTACACAAATAGTTCAAACACATTGTTTGTGGCCTCCTGTCTAGCTCCACTAAAACCACCACAAAGCCATGCCTGCAGGCTACCTGTTTAATAAAATGATTATAGCAGGCCTTATCTGCTGGCCAAAGTAAGCTTTGGCAAACTCACAGTTAAAATAACATTTATGTTTACTTTTAATTTAACTGTCATGATAGGAGTGAAATATTATGGGCCATTTGAAATGAAAACCAATTATACAACATCAATTATTATATTTAAATTGAAGGAATCCCAATATCCTACCAGCCACATATGTATGGGCCTGCGTGCTGTCACTCAGCAGACTAAACCAAACACAAAGCAACCTATGTGACCACATGAAATGTCAGGTGCACTGAGTCCATTATGCAAAGAAGGGTTTTCACACATTGTAGCTCCAAAACCCAGTTGGGATATCACTGTGTGCTCTCGAGCGAGCTACTTTACCAATGTAAATATTTAGCCAGCTGTATAAATGGGTGTTGTGTAAAACCTGCAAACTGAACTGGCACTGCACAGAAAGAGCCAAACAGAAAAGGCTATGCCAAACATATGAGTAGTGAAAAATACACAGCGGATTGTTTTACCTGTTAAACTGAGAGCATGATGGCAAAACTGTAAATCAAGGGTAAAGAAACTCACTACAAGAGACAGACTGTAACCTGTGTGTTGGCTCCCTCTTATGGTGTGTAATATAGCCCGGCCGGCCCTTTATACAAACACACACGCACAACACACACACAGTCAACATGTATGAAAAACAATACTCAGCCCCTCCCTGTCTCCCCTTCATTACCCAATTACACTAATACACTCATCCTGCTTGTAATGAGTGTGCGGTCTGAATGATAGCCAGCCTTGTTGTGTCTTCACTTACCCCACACGGACAAACACACACGTACTTTTGTCTGTTTTCTGATGGGTGGATTTTCCTGACTGTGAATTACAAGTGGAGACCATGTCTCAGTGTTCAGCAGAAAGGGAGAAGAGACTGTCTGAGGCTGAAACATGACACTTTAATGATCTGGACAGCATCCAATAACAGTACACCCCCGCACTTTTAAAAAAAAAAATCTATTGCGAAACTTGGTCTGCAATCAGCCCTGCAGAATAGACTTGTTAGTGCTTCAGAACAGTAGGGACATTGCTCCAAAACACCATCAAGCTGACAGCCAGAGGCAGTGTTAGGGGGGGGGGTGGAGCCCACAGTGGGTGGACACCCACATGAGACATTCCTTGGAGACGGAGAGTGCTGTAAACAAACATGTTTTGGCCCAGGGGTTCCCAAAAGCAAGATTAACTATAGTTTGACCATGAACAGTCAAAAGTCATATAATAGTTCTCTTTTTCTGTTTGCAGGGGAGCTCATGAGACCTGAAGGTCACTGGGCCCCTTTGTTGGAAACTTGGGCTGAATTTACTCAGCAGGTCCATCTAGGGATTTCCCCCTGAATAACTGACACACATGCCTTTTCTTCTGATATCTTTTCTAAATTTGTCTTAAATCTGGAACATGGTTTGATACAATGTAACTAGTATTCATAGTGACATTAAAGCAGTACATCATTCATGAATGTTTATGTCACTCCAGAGAAAAAAATTACAACATTACACTGATTCTTGCAGAAAGCTGGAACAGAGCTGCAATTGTTTTTGTTTTCTAGGACATGATTAAAGTTATGAATTCTGGTTTATCTTCATTTAGCTGCTCCAGTTTCAGGGTGCAGATCAATTGAATGTGGCATCAATGTCAGTCCTATAAAGAGAGCCTATGAAACTGATTAATTTAGACAAATACCTCTTAACTCAATGTCCAAATTACTCTCATGGTCTTCCTCAAATGACTATGTTGCTTATTTGTCTTCTGGTACATTTGCGAGATCAGCATCTTTGATGTTGTGTTTTCACTATTCTAATATAAAGGGATAGTTTTGATGCTTTCTAGTGATGGTTGCTTGATAGCTCCTATATGCAGAAACAGACTGGAGTACTTGCATAGAGGAAATTCACTGCTGTGGATGGGAGAGCTGCAAAATGCACTTGAGCCACACAAAAAGTCCCAACTTAAACCAATATCAGTTGAAGTTTATGCTATATTTAGAAAACAGGAAACTGAATTCCTTATCTATGCTATCTTCAAAAGCCACCAGACTACATCGACAAGAAAAAGAAGTAACTTTACCAGGCTGGTAGAAGTGGCTGGTTCACCGTTCATGGATCTCTCAATTTGTGTGCATTATTGTGGAACTTGATGATTTTAAAAAGGTTTCATTTTGGATAAATCAAAATTAAAGAGCAAATTCATGGACATGGTGGCTACCAGTAAGAAAAGAATAAATAAAGTGGTATACTATAGGATATGAACATGGAAGTAGTAAATAGAAGTAAGGCTTAATGACAGTCAAAACACTTACAGTTACAAAAACAAAGTCAGAGTGCCAAGAAGTTTATTTAAATTCAGTCAATATTGTTAAGAAAAATAAAAATCCATGACATAGCTTGTATATTTTCTTTGTACAACATCATGTTGTAAAGAAAAACAGGTAAGGCAAGAGGAGATGGTTTGAATTCAATTCCAAGCAAGCAAGAAATGAGCTTGTTCCCCTCAAAATTCAGATGAAATGTATAAAATGTACGCATTGAATTCTGAGCGAGCAAAACAAATATTTACAATTCCTTTTTTTTGTAATCAAATTTGTTTAATAACAAAATGTCTGAAAAAACATGGCAAATGAGAGAAAACAAAACATGTTTTTGCTTAATCCGCATTAAAGCACTTTTGGAGCTACTGTATCATCACATACATTCACTACCACAGAGATCTACATACTGAAGAGACAGGTATTCGTTTCATTGCTACTCTCCTCTTTTGACATAAATATGTTTTGTGCCGCCTTTTACTGACTGCACATTAGTGTCCTTCATTCTGTATGCTATGGAGAAGGAAACAGAGTGTGTGGATCTTTTTTTACATAGCCGGAGTCATTTCATCCACAGTGAGACCAGTATAATGTGCCCTTTTTGCTCCTCCATGTGTAATCCAAACTACGGCTACAGTCAGCACGACTTTCCTTCATGCTTCACAAGAGAAGACGAGTCAAAGAGCTTTGCTATGTCTGGACATCTACACCTTAGATATCTGTAAGCTACATGGGGTTGATTATTTCTTCACCTCAGGTTAGATTTATCCCGATTCCTGCAGCACGTACAGGAGATTCCCTCCAATTCTCCAGAGCTGAGCTACAAGACTTTTGCCAATTTGAGGCAATGAGGAAATCAGAGCATGGATACCAGGTAGCTTTACCTGCAGTTACAATTATCTTTGATTGAGTTGAGTCGCTCAACATTAAAATAAAGCGTCTCTCACTTGATATGCCAACCACTCTGGTTTGGATTTGCTTCTACTTGTCAAATACTTGAGCGTAGAAAAAAAACACTGTTTACAATGCCTCTTAGTAAGCCAAAAGACCGGGAAAACTGCTTCTCAGTGTTCATCCTAAAGCAATCCTAGAAAGAGCCATTTCAATATTAAACAGACAACAGGAAATTAACAACAGCTTGTGACCTTCCCCCTGCTCCAGAGGGAAGGTCACCTCGAAGGTCAATTATATATTGATAAGCGCTAATACACATGTCTGGCTGCTTCTCACGTGGCCGAGCAACATTCATCGGCCTATGAAAAACAAAAGTAAATTAAGGACGGAACAACCGTGGACTTTTGCTGAATCAACAAAAAAAGTAGGTCTTCGGAGAAAGAAAAAAAAAGGGATTGAGAACGGTTCATGCATTGGGCTTCGCTTTAGATGAGAGAAGGAAAAGAAGTCCAAAGTTATTTCTTTCTCGTGAATGAGCACATCAGTCCCGGGGTGGAGGGTGTGAGAGAGAGGGGGGGGGGGGTTAGGGGTGAGGGATGGATGGACACGGGAGCTTATTTGACCAGCCTCTTGGCTACGTCTCCGTAGGCGATCTCGATCTCTTTGTCGCTGGGGCAGGTGTTGGTGAACTCTTCGCGCGTGTAGGCGATGTTCAGGTACTTCCAGATGGAGCTCATCTCTTTGGGGATTTCAAAGCCTCTGTACTTATTGGCCACCACCTTAGAGGAAGATATCGGAAGTTAGAAATCTAAACACAATCCACCGGGTGATATACTCTTCATAAACTCAAAGAATCAGCAAAACTATGCAAAGATCAATAGTCAAGAAATAACACTTTTATTATATTTGGATAAATTAAATAAATGTGGCCCCATATACCAATAGTGGAGCAGTTATTGGTGAGTAATTCTTCATTAAAGGTGGGGTAGGTAATTTTGGAGAAACCAGCTCGAGTGCGCTAGAATTTGAAAATACACAGCCCCTCCCTGTCTCCCCTTCTGCCACTTCCTTACAGAGCCCCTCCTCCAACACACACGGACGCCCACATGACCAATGAGGGCACGAGATAAGTTTGTGCACAGATGGAAGGCTGACAGGCAGGTAGGCCATCCAGTTATTTTAGCCGGGCCGGCTAAAATGATTGGTCGTGCTTTTTACAGCGCTACGGCTTCCACAGATGACATGTTTTAATGGATTTTTTGTCAAAGCACTTAAGATATTCATTGCTATCGGGATGTTAAGAGCATTCCATGGAATATAACAAAAAGTGTATCTCGAGCCGGTTTCTCAAACTTACCTACCCCACCTTTAAATTGCTCTATGCTGCCCACAAGGTGTCACATTTGTAAAGCTGAAACTACTAGTCACTCAACAAATCGATCAACAGAAAATTCCTCAATAATTATTTAATTAATTAGTTGATATAATACTTATTTTTTTGATGAAATTCATCAGTAGTTGAAACCCTATAGAGTTGTCTCAACATCCTTGCAACAACAGAACATGTGGCAAGTCGTTCAAGGATATTGTTTGGAAAAAATATAAAACACACAACCCAATATCACTGAAATTCAAATGTCGCCCAAAAATGGTGACATTTGAATTTCAGTGATATTGGGTCGTGTGTTTTAAAAAAAAAAAAGGTCCCACGTACTCATTGTTCACTCACTCACTTAGCCTAAATAAACTGCTTGTTGGGAGCATGTTATCTCAACTGATATATCTCCGACCCTCCCATTAGTGTTGTTGGACATTTAGATAGATAGCAATAGACTGAAAACAAAAAAAGGTGTGGGGGTGTAGTGTTTTTGGATGCTCTTCACACCAACAGTTTTAGGTTCATGGAGTTTGGTGACCTTATGCCTTTAAAGACCCTGTGTATCCATCTGCTGTTTTCATCAGGGGACTGTTTAAAAATGTCATGCTAACATACTAGCAGCAGCCAATTAAAGCCCCGGCCACACAAGGACGATAACGGTCGTATCTGCTACAGTTCACTATCAGATAGACGGTTCGGCCACACGAGGCTGACATGGAAATGCAGAAAACGATAACAGGTCCCAAAGTGGGTAGATCTGCAAACGAAACGCTCTGGGGGGCCAAAGGGCTCTGTGTTTACGCCCATACGATCATTTCCTGATAACGTTGAAGCAATAGCCCCGCCTCTCCCCACCTCTCCTGCTCAGAGAACAGCTGCTGGGCTGTCAGAAGAGGGAGAGGAAAAGAGAGGCTCCGTTTTTTATTCTTATATGATTATATAGAGTCGTTATTCATTTGTTTTAAAGCTCAATAAATAACAAAGAAGACCTTTGACCGGCACTTTTCTAATTTTCTCCGGAAGATTTCAACTTTAACGGACATGTTGACCGACGAATAAAATCTAACTGCAACTCTCCCGCACGGTCCCCTCGTCCCTTGGAAGAGGCAGAGAGGTGGGTGTTTTTCATCTGCTGGTGGAGTACCGGAGAGAATTACAGCAGCAGGAGCAAACGCTTGCCTTTGGGGAGGGAGAAAAAGAGCCAGAGCATCCACAGCGGAGAATAAAACGAAAGGCAACCATGGCAACCATGGGGGAAAGTCTTCTTCGCTGCTTTTGTGGCAGGACTACAGCGCCACTTACAGGCCTGGCATATGTACTACAGCGTCTCCAGTGCTTTCGAGCGGTCTCGTGTGAACGGACACGTTTCTGGTGCCTGTTGCGTGTGGTGTGGACGGAAGACTTTTTTGATAACGATTGCGGTCCGTTTGCGTTATCGTCCTCGTGTGGCTGGGGCCTAAAGCTCCTGCTATGAGTAGGAACCAATGTGTGTTTATTCAGAGATTCGTCCGAAAGGTAAACAGTTGTTGAACACACACACATTTCGTACTGCATTGTATGTTAATTTTGAGTATATGAGAAAGGCGTGGATGTATACTAGATTAGCAAGAATGTCTGAGTATGCGATGTGAGCTTACTAGTACCATCATGAATTGAATAGGCAGTACATTATGGTTGAGTATGTATTAAACAGAAGGTTAGTATGCTCTGGCTGACCACTGCTGAGGTTTAAGCAGGGTGGAGCTCTGCTGCGTATTACATAAGGTCACCAATCTCAATGTAGCAATAATTTAAATGTTGTTCTACCAGAACTACAATGATTGGGTGACGTTTAAAAGTCCCCCCTGCTCACCTTGACTATGTGCAGCTTTGGCAGCAGGTTACAGTCGGCCAGGGTCATCTCATCCCCGTCCAGGAACTTGCGGCTGGAGACCTTGACGTCCTCGCTGCTGTTGTGGTCGATCTCGTCGGGCAGCGGTGAGCGAAAGATACTCGTCCAGCTTCTGCAGCGTCTTCATGAGGCCGCGCTCCAGACCTATGAAAGATAGTTTTAAGTTAAATTCTATTTTCAGTAAATAATATTTAACAATGTTAAACTGGGCTCAACAGTGCCACTCCCAGTAGTCCACCACATGGGGGCAGCATTTCATCAGGAGAGTGGGCATGAACACTACTAATGCAGGAAACAGACACATCATGAACACCAGTACAATCCTAGCAACACTAGCATTGTGAACCACTGCTGTAACAAATGTATTATATGTTAACTACCCACCACACATTTGAATTAATCGCACATATGATTTGACCTTACCCTGTATTCATCTGTCTATTGATCAATCATTAACAATTCATTCTATTGTTGGAAATTGTGACATGAATGTTCGATCCAGTAGTTCAACAGTACTTGTGAACTGTAACTTTGGAGAGCACTTATCATTGAACCATGAGATTCAGCCCACAACTCTGTTGACACAGCCTGGGATTTCACCTACAGCTCACCATGGCTCAATATTTTTCCCAGGGTGGAGAGAGCGGTCAACTAAAACATGATACAACGTCTTGGTATTTTGTGCAGATCATAAAAATCATTCAAGGGAAACAAGTCCACAAATTGTTTCACCCAGGATGAACCAGAATCTATGGCGACTATATACATACTACAACAAATCTAATTATCTTATCAGGGAAGTGTGTAGGTGGAGGGAGGAGATAGTGCGCTCCAGTTCATTCTCAGAATAGCTGCAGTGTGGTTTTCCAGAGAGCTCCAGCAGGTGAGACAGGGAGGGTGAGGACAAGAGGAACAAAAGCTCTGTGTTCCGGAGTGAGGCTGTAAACCACCAATCAGGGCAGGGCTACCAATGTCGCCTGGCAACCAGAGAGCTCTCCAAACACAATTGGATGGTTTATGATCTCTGATCTCATGCGTGTGTCTGTTCGTGTGTGTGTGTTTGTGTCAAATACAGATAACTCACCCTCATTTGCATCTGGTTTGGAGTTCTTAATGAATGCTGAAAACTTGGCGAAGATGTCCATCCCAGCTGTGTTTGACTCTGGGTGTCTGGCACCAAGCTTGATGTACCTGCACCCAAGAACACACACTCAGGTAAATACACATCTGTATGTACATATGAGGAGGTAAAGTGCAAGTTTTGATAACATTTATATTAATGAAAATAAATGTATCCTATTAACTATTGTTGTTTGTAAAGACAAACACTGATACAGCATATTTCTCTGTACTGCCTGCATTAATTGTCTAAAAATGACATCAACAAAAAGCTCTATATAGTCATATTTGTGGGGTTTTTGACATGTTTTCCTTATCATACCCAATATATTCTTTGGACACTATCACAATCGGTTTTATTACCAAATGGGTTTACACATACGAGGAATTTGTTTTGTTGTATATGGTGCATATAAATACACCTTTTTTTATCGGAACAAGGTTAGGTAAAACCTCGTACAACCTAGATCTATATGGCCTTTAGCTTTAAATACTTGCTAACAGAGCAATTAAAAGCTTATAGTGTCCTCGTGACAGTGTGCAGTGTGTACAGAGATTAGGTGTGTACAGAGATTAGGTGTGTCAGAGCGTGGCTGGAGGGTTGAGACGGCACTCACTTGGGTGGGGAGAGGACATCCTCAAGAAACTCCTCGATCTTGTTGACGTCAGTTTTGACCTCGCCGTTGAAGGTGATGAAGGGGGGGTGTGTGCCCGGGGCCAGGTTCTGGAGGTCGGCTGGCTTCCTGGAAGAGAAATGAAGCGAATGTTAGTGGATTTAAGAAAAGGGAACAAAAGTAACCATGCAACCAATAAAATCTGTATAAAAGTGGTTCTGGTCTGTTTGAATACGTGTAAATATATTCACTGTATATATTTCAAGCTAATTCAAACATTGAGAGTGATACGTGTGTTTTCCTCTGTCCCCATGAGTGTGTTTGTGTCTCCTTTTCTCTCTGCAGCCTTCAAACCAGCACATTTTGTACCAGATGTCTTTGGCAGGCAGATGACACTGACGCACACATAAATAAAAATGAGCATGTGTTGAATGAGGAGTGTGAACACAACTCACTAGGGAAATCCACAGAGCCCAGATGCTTAAATCCCTTCAGCTTAAAGGCAGCCAACCAAACAGCGGTGTCTTTTTGAACCTAACAGATTGGTGTTAGCCAGCAGACAGTGTGAATCCTCTTTGATGTTATGTTACTAGCAACAACATGTATCCATAGAGAATCTAATACGCTCCAGCAGTGGCTGTGTTTTGGGACAAGCCATCTGAGGGAACAGAGGAACAGGAAATGACTTCAACTCTTAGGAATGCAAAGGGGAAGTGGCACCCTTACCGATTTATATCCAAGATGAGCTGGTAAAAACTGCCTTATGACTCGCATGCTTTTATCATAGAAACAAATATGAACATGATATCCTTGACCCAAGAGAAGACCTTAACATGTGACATACATGTCCTTCTACATGTGTAACACTATTCTCCCATTTAAATACTACAATAAAAACAGCCATAAACACAGCACACAACTTCTGTTGCATTACACATGCGCTTTATGTTTACTCAAGGTTACCGACACTTAAACACATGGAGTCTGGATCTCTTGTTCCCCTGGAGAGGAGTAAAAAACAAAAGTCACTCCAGCTGAACAAAGGGGTTGTCTGACGAGTGAAGGATAAACAAACACTGCTAAGTAGGCGGACATCCTACATTGCTTTTTACAGGAGATCATCCAGCTCTGTACTTTGCTACTTGCCCTCCGCTAGGGAAAATCTATGGAAATGAATCTGAGCAGTCATCTAGATCGTGCATGCATGTGTGAAGAAACCCAGATGACTAGTCAAAAAGACCCAATGTCTATCATTATATTTCTGTTGATTTGTGTTATTGCGAGACGCCCGGTGTTGAAAGAACGGATGAAATGCGTTTTGGAACATTACTGCAGAAGTCTCGAATCTCTCAGTCAATACACACATGACGCAGAAAGACCTTATAAACCACACGTTGATCTGATGTCTGAAAATAGTCCGGCATTTGCCCGTCCCGCCTTAGGAAGTGGAACAAAATGTAGGGTGATGAATCACCAAAGAGAAAGTGATGGGTTTGGTAGAAGTTCTGCTACAGGAGTCCATACGTTACTTTGAGGTCAGAATTGCAGAGGATCAACGTTTTCTGATTCCTGTGGTGAAAAATAACTTGTTCCCCACCAAAATCTGGAAAGGAAGTGGGTGGAACCTTAAGAACCTTAAATAGCCTCTCCAGAGTCTGTGTGTTGATATTCCTCCGGCCTGAGAAAGGGTCATGGGAAAACCAAATAAGCAGCGAGCGTGTCGGGGTGGGGCTGTATCAAAGCGCTACAGAGCTGCCAAGGCCTTTGTGGAAACCTGCAGAAGAGAAAAAGAAAGAAGGATGGAGACAGAGAGCCAGACTCACCTCTTGAGGTCCACTGTGGTGACGTTGAAGACGACTCCTTTAAGCCACAGGATCATGAAGAGCCTCTGGGAGAAGGGGCAGTTTCCGATGCTCTCGCCATCACTTCCTGCCTGAAATAGACACACAGATTTAAAAAAAAAAAAAGACTCCCCTAAAATGATCAATACCGGCATATTGAGTACACTTTATTCTCTATATTTCATAGTTTTTCCTTGCACTCAGGCAGCCCTTTGGACAGGGAACTGAATCTTGTCTATTAGGGTGGTCCTTAAAATTGAAAGTCGGAAAGTCTAAGCTCCAACCCCCAGAATTCATTCTATTAGTCAAGAAAACTCTCCTGGTGAATTATTTTCCTTAATCTGACAACATTTACCCCTCCCCCATCGACCTTGAAGTTTAGCCTCAGTTGCAGCACCGTGGCTGCTGGTGGGGCAGCCAAGGTTGATGAGGGAGGGGTAAATGTTGTTGGAATTTGAATAGAATTCACCAGGAGAGTTTTCTTGACTATCATAATGAATTCCGGTGGTTGGAGCTTAAAATAAATGAATTTGAAAATGTACATGGCACTAAGGACCACCCTATTGTTGTCTATACTCGCTTGAAAGCCAGCGTACTCTTTTGGCAAAAACAGCCATTTTATCTTCTGAACATGAGAGTTTGTAGTCTATGGCTGCATTGATCGGTTTGTTTGTGTGATGATGCAACTTTGGTGTTTTAAATGGGTATCTCCGATTAACCAGTCACACAAGACAAACCAACTAACCGATGTCTATAGGATAGAATTCTGCAAGTTACTGTCAATTTGGTGAAAAATGATTAATTAGGAGGGCCTTTCTTTAAGGTCGCGAAAAAGTGTTGTTACTGGCCCCATCCACATCAGTACATTGCTTCTGTGCCAGTACTCCTACCTACTTCTTCAAATTGGCGGTGTGCAGACCGTCCTCTACTGTTATACAGCAACTATGGATAAGTACCTCATTCAACCCCACTTCAAACAGTACAAACTATCCCTTTAAGGATACATCCCAGATTGTAATTATTGCAAGCATAAAATAAATATCAAGATAGCAGATCTTAAAAACATCTGTAACAGGTTTTCAGGCCCTGATAACACCTAGGGTTAATGCTGAGGCCGAAACACACCGAACAATCTTGATAGAGATCGCATCTCTGTTGCTCAACCTTTATGGCCCCGGGCGTTTTACTGCACTCACCCAGAGAGGGCCCATCGCAGACAATGACTCCTTCATACACATTACAGGCTGCCCTCGAAAAGATTTAAGTAGGAGGGAAAGAGTGGAGAGAGTCGACCCCCCTTGTCTTAAATACTTCAGCACACTTCCCCTCCATTAAAGTGCACAACAACTGTCCAAGAGTAAGAGGAAACTTCTGGAGTGATTAAGACCGTGGTCCGCCTCTTGTTTCCTCTTTTGCTAGACTGCACAAACACAAGACTAAGAAGTTGCTCAGGGAAGTGTATCAATGGATGCGGCACATGTCTTTAAAATTAATGACCATATCTCATCGGTTAGCACCAGACAAAACAAGAGTGCGTTTCGAACACTAGAAACACAACCTGCTCGCTTTTTTTTAAGCTAAAGAACTGATAGAATAGTCTGAGCGCTTCATGGAGGACAGGGAAACATTGCAGTGATTTCTGTCTCACTATCACACACACAGCAGTATAGAGAAAGGCGACGGGAGGATGCTGCAAGCTGTCAGAGATATCTCCGCTCTTCCTAACAACCATCCATCTCTTTGTCTCCCACTCTAAATGGTTAGAGACTCACAGCCATGTATGGAGTGAGTCGGCTGTCGCGCAGGACAAATATAGTTTGGAGTCTACATCAGAAGGCAGAATAAGAGATTCATTTGATTAACTGAGCTTTGTGAAGTATCCTAATCAAATCTGCAATGCTGATAGAGTAATGCCTGCTCCAAGATATAGATTTTCCCTAAAAAAGAAAAAGAAAAAATCTTTATTCTACCTTGTTTCCACATCATTTAACAACCGTTTCCATAGACTCAGAGCATTGTGACTATGAATACCAAGCCTCTTGAGGTATGACGTTATCCAGACAAGGCAGGCCAAAAGAGAATGCACCTTATTCATCCATTCACAAGGACAAGCATGGAGGTCATTCAGGTACCGCCGCTCTGGAATGAGCCTCTTCGTTCAGTGTATTATAGTAGCAGAGCCTTAGCCAAAGCGGCTGAATATCGTTTGGCTTTGTCTGCCTCTTGTGGCGTCACTCACTCCTCATTCTGCATGCACTCCTGCAAAGGTAATATGCAAAGTGTGTCTGTACGAGTGATGCAAAAGCCGTACTCAAATCACATAGACCGGAAAAAGAGCGCCGAATAAAAACAAGATTCAAATGTAAACCACTAGTTTAACAGAGTATTGTTTAACATCAGATGTGCATGTCCTGCAGCGTCTTTAATAGTGGACTTTGTTCTGGAGTGTTCAGTGAGTCCTGCAGCTCCTTGCTGCTGCTGTTGTCCTCTGTGTGACGCCCAGTGGGATGCTCTGTTTGATCTGCCTGCTGGCTCCTATTGTACTGCGGATGCCCCCCCCCCCCCCACTCTGAATTCAATATCTGCAAAGCTTGGATTAGATCTTTGCCTTTGTCCAGCAAATTAAATTCCCCTTTTCACCTTACATGGTTCAATTCTGATATAAAGCATCGGCCATGAAGAGTATCCCGGTTCTTGGCCTTTCATACATTAAACTAGCATTAGCTGATCTTTAGCGGATCAGAAACACATCAAATGGGATGATAACTACATTTTCCCCACAGCGCTTACACCTACAGCGCACCATTCAGTTCTGGATCATGGGAGCACAGCAACCGTTCCCATGACAATGGCCAGGGACATTATGACATGCACAGAGCGTAGAAGGGATCACAAAATCACAGGAGAGCTCCTTTTCTGTAGGGGTTGAGAATTCAAATCACATAACGCAATGTCCTTTTTAATTAAAAAGATGTTTGCTGCTCTTCAACACAATGAGATGCTTTTAAGCTCCAGTTCTGCCTCTCGAGTTGCCAAGAAGATGGCCACAGCAGCTGAGAAAGACAGTTCACACTTTTCTTTCTCTTTCAGTCTGTACTCAGAGTCATGGCAATGCTCCTGCCCTCTGCAGCAGAGAAGACTGCAGCTCTCTGTGAAAGACACTGCAGAGAGAGGGATGAACAGCGAGAGAGAGATATCATAATAAATAGGGAGGGAACGAGGTGTCAGAGACATGGGGAACAAGCGGTAATCAATGCTCTTAGTGGGAGAAGAAGACGGCAGGCTTCAGAGGCTGTGTGCTGTTTGGCACGCTGCTTCTTCTTTCTTCTTCCTTCCCCCTTTATCCGTCTCCCCTTATCCTGGGCCCCTCTGTCGAGTCAGAGGGGGGTTGGGCATTTTAGGAGGAGGCAGAAACTATTCCAGAAATGTCCTGTTACTCCCGCCGAAGAGGGGGCTTTGTTTAGTTGAAGTAATGATGCTGTTGGGGCAGCCTTTCCGCTGCCTGTGACATATAAACTGCTGCTCTGATGTGCAAGTGTGTAGGAAAATATTGATACATTTTTATATCACAATAAAAAGTTCTGCATATATTGTATAGACTAGATGTAGTTACCAGTTCTGATAGCATGAAAAAGTTAACTTATTTTTACTAAGATTATATGCAAATTTGGTGTGCTCTTAAAACAGACACATTTCCAACAAAAAAAAAGAAAAAAAAAAGTAAATTGCAAAACACTGCCTAGCATACAATATTGCAATGCATCGCCATACTGAATTGTAGCCCCTGTATGATGATATTGATTGTATCGCCACAGTCTTGATGAAGTGTACAGCTCTACAATAAAATAAGGTCTGCTCTACATTTAAGTATAGATTCAAGTGAGGTAGTTTTATATGATAAATAATAATTGTAAAAAATGAAATTATAACATTGCACCTTAGAGAACAACCTCAGGGGATTGTTGAGAAACAAAAATGTATATATTGAAAAAAAACTGGTCCGTTAACATTATTTTCAATTCTCATTCATTTATTAGAAATTGGTCCGGGGGCTGATAGAACGGCTACTCACTGGTTTAGGACACGCCTCATAACCTTGTCCATGCTCCACCCTACCAACACTTTCCAGAGTGCCAGTATTATAGTGGGACATTCAGAAAAAATGACTTCTGGAGAACCTTCCAGCAGCATCACAAAGCACTTTTTGTTTGTGGAGTTTTAGGCACGTCACTAGGTAGGGGGGAAATCACCCTCATAAAAACACACATACAAGGCAAGAAAGTACCTTGAGTGGGCCCTTTTAAGGCTAGGAACGTCAGTTTACAAATACCCTTTTTTCCAAATACAAGCAGCATTCAGCGCCTGTTATTTTGCCTCCTGTGTCAAAAATGACTCGCATCTTGCAGACGGTTACACCATCTTGCACATAGATTTCCTCTAATGAGAAACGGCTAAAATAACGGCTGGTGTGCAGAAGCAGCTGACTTCTTGCTAACAGACTCTCAAGCTTTATTTAGGCTCCATGGATGGACTGCGAGTCAACAGATGCTTGTTTATTTAATGCCGAACACACACAGCTGCTGATGGAGGGTGTGAGTCATGCTCAAGTCGGATGTTATCTAGGAGTCTGTGTTCAGGACAGCGTGGCCCCACAGCAGAACAATGAGGCCTCAGCTCAGTCAGCAAGGGGCCCGTTGTGTCTTTAAAGCCCTTTTTCACAGTGTGGTCATACCTCTTTATCACTTCCCTTATGACTGTGCTCATACTGATGTTATGACCCACTTAACACTTCTCGGGAGTAATGAAGATGAGGCTTTAAAGTGCACCTATCATGCTATTTGTAGGCATATATTATGGGTCTCAGATATATACAAATATATAAAATGTCTGTCTTTGATGTGTTTTTCTCAAAATACAAACAGATCATGCATTTTAGCCAACCAACCCTTCTTTTGCAGCCCTGTTAGAGAAACTCGGATTTTGGGTCCTTAGCTTAAAAAAAAAAAAAAAAGAGGAGGCGGAGCTAATGCCTGATCAGAATTCTACCGGAGATAAAGTTAAATTCTGCTGTGATAAAACGCCATCCTGTTCC